GGGTGCAATCCCGATCGAACTCAACCACCATCACCACCCGCAGTCTCTGCTGTCGTCAACCTCGTCTCCATACATCGATGATTCAATGAATGCAAATATTGCCGGTGTTTCGTTCGCAACCGTCAGTGCACAGCAAGAAGCAGAAGATGTGAAACTCTTGGATGCAATTGAATCTGAGGTATTCGTTTTGTTGTTTTCAGTGAAGTGTGTGCACATAATTATATGTATTGTTAATTTCGTTCTTATTACCACAATTTGTTTATCAATTTATATTTCATGAGCATAAGAAAGTGACTGAATCGTTTGTTTGTTTGTTTGATGAGACTGAACAAATTCCTTTAAGGAGACAATTCTGAGTAAGAATCAGCAATTGGGATTGACGTACGCATTGCTGGAGCAAGGTGCGTGGGTGTTTGCGAAGCAGTTGCTTGATCGATTTCCAGAATTTTATGCTGTTAATGCGTCGTGAGTGATTTTGCTTGTTGTTATGATTTTTTACCATCTGACTATTGATCGTTACCTCTCAAATGGTTATTTTACGGTATATTCATTTCATCCAACTTACTCTTATTGTTAGATGGCTTGCCAATAATTGTTCAGTCATGTTAAAAGATAAGCTTTATTGAATAGGCAGGCAGTCGTTATCCATTTTTGTTTTTTGAACACTTGAACTTTTTGTGATCCGTGAAAAATGTTGCTACTGATCGGTATCTGCGAATGATTCAGTACCGATCCGATGCCACTTTGAAAAATTGTCGTATTGATTCGAGTTAATATTTCAGAAAACGTATCGCGCTATCAATTGCTGAAATGATTGAGAGATCAATAGACGATTTTTATCAAGAGTGAGTTGGTTCAGCTGCTGATTTTCTTTCGATTCATTTGCCAAATTTATCTTTTCGTTTTTCGTTCAATTAGTTTTCGGCATCACTTCATTACATTGCTAGTTCTTCCATTCATCATGCGCATTCATTTGATTTCATCCATTCGATTTGTTTTAGAAAATGTAAAATAGGACTCGGTCAACCGAAAACGCCTTCGTTGAACGCAACCACACATTCACTGGAAATTGTGAGTCGATTACATGTCACTTTCATATTCAGGGAATGAATGAAGAGTGCATAAAGCGTCTGTTATCATGGTTTTTTTCTTTTGGGACAGAGTGTGATTCAGTTTACAACTGAAACACTGCAACAGTAAATGAAGGTATTTGTGAACAGAAAGGATAGAGTTAAGGGACTTCGTATTACCACGTGAAACATCGTTAACACTTGAAATTGAGCAGCTGAATTGTTCAAAGTTGTTGGGTTGCTCGATTCATGCTGTTTACGTATGATTGATATCTCCACTTATTCGTTCAGTTTCTTTGAAAGTTTACCTTTTTAGGTTGGTAGTTGGTCAGAGTTGATTTCCGTTGTGCTGCCGGTGTTATGGTACTTAGGTCCGTATATTGCTTATAGAGCATCAGCCACGGTTAAACTGGTGCGATTAATAAGTGTTTTCTTCGAGGAGAAAGCAAAGGATACTGAAACGTCGGATTCATCACATTCTGAGTCTGGTTAGCTGCACATTTCGTTATTGTTATGAACATTCAGTGTTGTTATCATTTTATGTTAACATTGCTATTTGGTTACTATGATT